GGAGACATAGTAGGGGTGGGCTCTCGGCAGATTTGGGAGAGAGAAACGCGAAGGAGGAGAGGAAGCTACTGTAGCTGCTGCTTTCATCTAATGAGATTTTGTGAAGAGTTAATGTGCACTTCGTACTGTAACGCCTCAGTGACTGCAGTACCGTCATAAAAATAGATAAAGGGGAGATTTGGACTACAGTCAGGACTGATGGATTTAGATATTTGAATAATGCAGTTAAACCATGGCTCAATAGAAACTAAGTTAATGCCAATAACAAATTCTGGTCCTCATTTTACTCCCTGTAAAAGAAAAATAAAAGTTTAATATGACTCACTGGTCTTAGAGACTCATAACTGATGCATCTGTTAGCTCAGCTGTTTATGTGACCATGAATATAAATGCCACAGAACAGCTTTGACTAGACATTTTTCAAAGAAATATAGGGGCCTACCCTTCAGTAGATAGATTTCCTCCGAAGCTTGTGTAACAAACAAAACAAACAAAAAACTTAACACAAAAACACCCTGTCATGAAGACTTTAATCTCAGGGTATGCAATTTGCTCAGTGAAGAATAAAACACTAAAATAACCAACCATGAACCATTTTATATTCTCTAACTGAATTATATCTGTTTTTAACTTGCACTGTGTTGAGAAAGCCCTTGGGACCTTGGAAACAATGTACTGGAGTTATGTGTTCTCTCTGTGTATAGAGAGCCTAAACTATGTGGACAGCTGGTGAAGCTGTAAGGGCAGTGGGAATGGACATCACAATTAAGCAATTGCTAGTTTATGTGATGTCATAGAAAGAGCAATTTGTAAAACCTTCAGGTGTTGCATTTCTCCTCCGCTATTATGGATTGTATTTGAAAGATTCACTTTGGAGCATTATCATTGCTCAGTATATAACTTTATCCCTCAAGAATCTGAGATAAATCTGTATCTTATTCTGGAGAGTGGAATTACTTGTAAATCTGTGTTGAAACGTCCGGATGGCTTTCAGTATCCTTGCTATTGGTTAGAAGTTGCTGCAACAGGAATGGGGATGTTGTTTTCTTGTATGACATCAGGTGAGAATCAACACTGATGAGTCAAGATATTAAGAAGAGAACTATAGATTTCCAAAACAGAGGCGTTCACAGACTTTTTGTATGGCAGAGGCGGAAGAAAAAAAGGGCACATACAGCACATAATCACCAAAGTAGAGGGCATTTTAGCATACCCTTTTTTGCCAAGAAGGGACTTTAGCATGTGTTTTGGTGCATTCATAAAAAGACGTTATCAAGACGGAGGTGGAAGCTGGTAAGTGAATGGCTGCAAGGTCTACATTTAGGAGAGACAATTTCTCCAAAAGCAGCATAGAAAGATCAATAGCAATTTGCAGATGCACTCAAGGCCAAAGGTATTTTCAGACACACATACAGGGGTCGGATGAAACGAAAAACTTTTCAGCTTGACCTTATTGGTCATTATTACATTTGGAAGCAAACAGATGCCTAAGAATACTGCCAAAACTGGAACACTGGAATACTGAAACTGGAGGGATGGCAGCATTATGTTTTGTGGGTGTTTTGCTACCGAATGGATAGATTAAATCCCCAAAACGGATGGCATCATGAGGGAAGATGTATGTGGAAATTCAAGAAACATCTCAACTGACTTCTAACAGGAAGTTTAAGATGAGCCAGAATTGGATTTTCCAAATGAACAATCGCTGCAAATATACCACAAAATTTGCTTTTGTTTTTAAGAAAAGAAAATCACTGAAAAAAAGAATTCAACCCCCTTTGGCATTTACTTAATCATATTTAGTTACTTTAACACAATTGTTTTATGTCCTACCCTGCTAACATGAAAGAATTGTGTTAAAGTAACTATATATGATTAAGTAAATACCAAAAACGGTTGCATTACTTTTTTCAGTGATGGAGTGGGCTTTACAGAACCCCCATTTTAGTGCCTTGGTTAATTAGTGGGCCGTGATAAAAAAGACTGTGTAAGCAAAGCAGCCTAGAAGCTTGACAACATTCCACCAGTTCTATCAGCAGGAAAACTGTGGGAAGCACACCAAAAGTGTTTAACCCAAATCACCCAGTAGCTGTTCTACAGTACAGTAGGGGGAAAAAAATGTTTCTCTCCCAATATAGGAGCCTTTAGATAACAGAAACAGTTGTGTAAAGCCTTACTGACCAGAGTTTATCACACATTGAGAATTAAAGGTAATGCGTCTTTATATACAGTGTATGCTAATATCTGCAGCCCAACATTATGAATATATTCTGTGGTTCTAAATTTTAATTTCTAAACAAACGCCATTAAATCAGCAGATAATTGAGGTTTTGAGTTCTACTCTTTCTGATGAAAGGTGCCTCAGCCATAAAGAAATAAAAATTCTTTCATAGGTCGATAGGTAAAGGAGCTTTATATGATTTTGTTGAGAAAATTATTTTTAGGATCTTTTAAAAGTGAAACTAGAGATGGTTGTGAAAATTGGCTAGTGGGTTTGGCAGCTTTAACCCCCTGTCACACCTTGACGATATAGACCAGCGTATTCCTGATGTATGAAAAATCTGATAAAAACTCTGGCATACATTAGATAAGTTATGGGTATGTTTTGTATAAGTTATGAGCACGTTGAAGTATGCTGAAGCACGCTGAAAAACACGCTGGCACACGTCGACATACGGCGAGTACGTCGAGAAGTTTTTAGCATGCTCAAAATTTCTTGACGTATGCAAGCGTATACATACATGGGGCATAAGTAACAGGTAAGTTATCTGATCGTTGACATACATTAAGTGTTAGTTACTCATAAGTCATGGCGTGTAGCTTATCCAAAACCTATGAGTAACTTGTGCATAACTTATGTGTAACTTATCCAGAATGTATTTCTAAGCCATATCAACGTATCTTTTGGTATAAAATGAGATTCACAGGAAGAAGTTGTCAGTTCTACTCCAGACTTCATCTGCTGCGATTGCAAACCTTCTTTCTTGCTTTTTCTTTTTATTTATCCTTTTTTTTGGGGGAGCAGGCGATAAACACCAGTTTGGTCAATTCTGTGATCAAAGACATCTTTTAATGCAGACCGGCGGCCTTCCGGTTCCGTTGCTCTTGAGGGGAGCAGCTTTAACTGATGCTTCATAAGGGCATAATTTCATGGGCATTACGCTGCCATGCTTTATGCATAAGTTAGGCTGTGGTTTGACATAAGTTCTTGACTTGTTATGAATACACTATGTATAAGCCCAAACTTGAAAAAATACATAGAAAGTTCAGCATAGGCCAGCGATGTACGAAATTCTGGGACGTCAGGCAAAAGCTGTCTAAAGGCTGGTTTATACTCAGAAACCAGGTCGTCTGCATGTGTGTCGCAGTTAGCTTGACGCAGGTATGAAACCAAGATTTTTGATTTATGCCCAATTTTGAAGTGTGGTCTGCGCTGTTATTCCACGCCACAACGCAAGAGGGACAATCACGAATTAACTGTGGGTCTAGATACGACCGAGGGGGTGAGGAAGTAGAAAAATCAGGACATGTCCTACTTTTCATAGCTAAAAAAATGTCCGGGGGGAATTTCAAAATTGTCCGGGATTTTGGTCAACTACAGTGCAGCAGAACCAAGCCGTATGCACCGCGGTGAAGTTGGTTTGAAGTTGGATATTGGATATTCAAGCTCCGCAGAGTCAGCGGAATCTAGCTCACGGTTGATCCGATTGAGGCATTCTTATGTCGACCAATGTCTCTTAACTGCTCTCTCCTCCCACACGTGGTGGTGCACTTAGGGACCGTCAACAAATCTTTGAACCAAGCACTCTTGAGAAACAAAAATCAATAAATTCCTTATCTTATGACCTGCTATTTCTTCAATAGCTTCCAGGTCATGAGACCCATTTTTATTCCATACAGCATACCGTCACTGGGTTGGGTGTCGCTGATGGCTAGGTTCAAATGCCTGGCCAGTCAGCGGCCCAGTGGCCCCCATAACAAAATTGTGTTCTCCTTTTCAGAAACCCAAATCTGCCTACCCTAGTTTTCTACAATGGGGGTCATACAAACAAAACAAGCCTATAAAATACCAAACAGGACATGGTGTAGAGCGGATGTAGATTTAAACAATCAGTCCTCCTTTCTGCGGCACTGTGTGCAGTCACCTACCATTTTGGAAAGGTGCACCAGAGTGTCTGCGGAAGGGGCCGGGGCATATCTGCTTTAACTGTGACACACACGCAGACAACCTCGTTTCTGAGCATAAACCAACCTTAAGTTGGTAACAGAGCAGTTTTATTCTGTTTTCTGTAGAAATTAGAAACAAAAATCCACATCAGAGAGATTCACTGGAAATGAACAGCATGTAAAGGACATTGAACAATAACTTTGGTGTTTTTTGTCCTCTGGTTTGAAAAAGGAGAAGATTGTTGGCACAAAATTAGGAGATATCTCATTTTAGATATTTCCTTTTAAGGGTAAGAAAAAAAAAGCTTTTTGAATGTCTTTCATCAATTAAATCTACACTCATGTATCAGATCCCTGTAGTTACTTACAATGTTCAGGCATTTAGGCCTTGACCAAGCCTCCTCCCACGCTCCCGTGGGCAGACTGTGTAAACACACACAATTCTCCCTCTCATCATTACCAGACCGTAATCTATAATGCAGTCTGGTCTCCCTCTGAATCAGTTCCACTACATGTAGGCTATCTATTATTGAATTGATTAAAAATAGGTTTTTTAACAGCAGCTGCCTTTTCCCGCTCCAACAAATATATCTCTTGCTCCACCTCTGGATACTTTTCCAAACCCCTACTAAATCACTTAATAATGTCACTGTTTTTGAATTTTTCATCTGTAAGTGCAAACTTGCAAACCCACAAAACAAATAGTTACAAAAAGATTAGAACATTAGATGTCATTAAAAGCAAATTTTAGAGTAAATGTGGTCATAAATAATTTGTTTTTCCATGTTCTTTAAATTTCTAGTATTTCTCATATGAATGCACATATGTTGCAGGGGGGCTTTCTCTGAGGTGGTTCTCGCAGAGGAGAAGAGGACTCAGAGGCTAGTGGCCATCAAGTGCATCCCTAAGAAAGCCCTGGAAGGGAAGGAGAACAACATTGAAAATGAGATTGCAGTTCTGCACAGGTGAGGTCATGTGCCCTGGGCTTGAGAATTAGTCAGAACGCCATTTCACAACACTCGCACGTGTAAATGTAATGCAGGGGTCAACAGAAAGATGACTAAATGTATGGTGTCAGTTGAAACAGTACAATTGTGCACCGGAAATGTCAGGAGTAAAGAAGATAGGCCTATTTTTAGTGTCCCTGTTTCTAGGGCAACAGCACACAGAGGCGGAGATGGTGTGGAGTTCCCCCCTGCAGCAGTGTACTGAAGAAGGAGAAAGAAACACAGAGAGGGTGGAGGTGGGGAGGGGCTGTGTGGAATGGGCTGAGGGAGGGTATGGAAGAAAAAGGGGAGAACTGTATGGGAGAGCAGGAGTGGAGTTTGGGAAATGTTTAAGAAGCAATGAGATATGTAATATAGGGTAACATGAGTCTAATTTGTTAGAAATTAGGATGAGTTTGTTTCTGTCTTCATTTTTCTAGCTCTTCTCTGCAAAGTTGGTGAGAGCTAATATCAGCTGGATTCAAGGGCAGAGACATACGCTAATCCATCTGTTAGTCAATCAATTTCCTCATAAGAGAGATTAGATTTGCCTTAATTATTTTTTGTCTGTTTTATAGGTACTACATAATTACTTGGCCAGTATTTCCAGCTTTTTTTTCTCAGTGTCAGCCTTCTTAACCTTTGTCATGCTTCAGTGAAAAAGTTTTTTTTCCTTTCTTAAAATTGCTGTGCAATATAATCCAAACTTTATTTTCTTCTATAGATGTGAGTAAGCAGACTTTTCTTTATGTTATCTGTTCATCACGAATGCCATCTGTTGACCAGCTTGAGAGATGTGGTTAGTTTCAGTTTTATACCTTTCATATACCTTCCCTAGAATCAAGCACCCAAACATAGTTTCGCTGGAGGACATCTTTGAGAGTACATCTCATCTATACCTTGTCATGCAACTGTGAGTATCCCTTCCTTTTTTTTCTCTAGCCATGGACTGAATAAGAACATCTACATTTCTCTATACATGTGTAACCTTAGAAACAAAATCAAGGGTGATCCTGTTACTTAATTGATCATTTACCAGAATGTTTTTTTTTTTTTTTTTGTGGTTTTTTTGTGCCCCATTGCCAAAGGGGCAAACACTTTGGAAATGTATGTCTTTCAAAGGTAAAGGAAGATATTTTATACTTGCCTTGTTAAATCTTTAGCAACATGAATGATGGCTGCATGGATACATCTGTATGTTGCTGTATTTCTCAGGTAGCAACTTCCTGGCTTTCTATACATATTAGCAAGGATAAGCTCCTTCAGAATCTGTGGTAATTAATCTGACCACCAAGCGCTAATGAAAACTTGTTTTTGTCTGTGTCTCAACAACAGGGCAACACACAACCATGCACAAACACACACACACACATTCACACTTAACATCCATTTTTTTTTTTACTCTTAAGTACCTGTAGAGAACCCACGTATGCAGGGGAAAGAGATGAAAACTCTATGTAGAAAAACTTAAGGCGGGAGTTGAACCCAGGACCTTCTTACTGCAAGGCAACAGCACTACCAATTGCACCACTGTGCAGCCATCCTAACTACTACTCAAGTCAATTAAAATATTTTAGTCCATTTTTAAAACAATATTAATAGCAATCAAATGAAAACAGCTAAAAAACTGAAACATAACTAAATAAAAAAAGATTTTAAAGCACAAAATTATGACTTTTTTTAAAGCTAAAATCCCCTCTGATTTTAAGCCTAAATCTTGAGATGTCAAGTGGGTTGTTTATTTGATAATGGCAAAGCTTAGGTATTGTGAAAAAAGTTGCCACACCATCTAGACTTGGGAAAGAATTTAAAATGATGGTAAATAGCCTGCACTTGTAGAACACTTTATCAAGTCTGAGGACTACAAAGTTGTTTACACTGCATTACGACAATCACACACTGATGGTGGTAAGCTACATTGTTGCCAAATCTGTCATGGGGAAGATTGATAGCATTTATAGACTTCAGTCTTTATTTCATTACCTGACTTGGCACTGCGGGTTGCAGGTTCGTTTCCTGGCCCACAGTCTTTTGCATGGAGTTTGCATGTTCTGCCGGTGCAAGCGTGGGTTCTCTCCGGGTCCTCCAGCTTTTTCCAACAGCACAAAAACATGACTGTTGGCTTCTCTAAATTCTCCTTAGGTGGTAGTGTGTATGTGAATGGTTAGTTGTCCTGTTTGTCCCTGTGTTGCCCTCACCTCTCCCCCTTTGACAGCTGGAGATAGGCACAAGCACCACTTGGGTCACAAGGCATTTGACCCTTTTTTAAACTGGTTTTATTGTTTACTTTTAGTGATTTTATGTACTGTTTTATTTGTCTTTTAGACATTTTTTGTAGTCTGTAGAACCATCTGTCTGTACAACACTTTGTTTCTGCCATTCTGGTATGGTATGGTATATTTAGTTGACACATCTTTCTACAAACTGGTCTGTCATTTGATTACATCTATTTTCACATAGATATAAGGTATACTGTGTATATTGTAGTGCTATTTCAGATATTTTCTCTTTCTGTTGTCAGAATGCAAATAAAGTCAGAGATTCAAAATATAGTGTGTCTCACCCAGACCACATTGTGCTCCAAAGCTCTTCAAGCTGGTTTAAAACCCTGATTTAATTTAGGCACAGCATCAGTTTACTAATCCTCCACTTACATAATCTGAAAACATTTGCCCTGTTAATTTGGCTATAGTCACCAGTATGGTCAAATGGGATATATCAGATCAAGAAGTTCCTTTGTTTTCATCTGCTAGCTGATTTCTAGTCTATTTATGCATGCAGAATAGCACATGGAGGCACAGCTGAGCTCCTGTAGTGTTCCACTTTTGAATGCAACTCGAGCCTCATTGTTTTGATAGCTTAAGACAACTAGATTGGCATGCATGTTATCAATACATAAATAATAAAACTTTTCATTAAAATACATTTTATCACCTTAAAGCTGATGTTAGGAGCTTTGTAAAATTTAGTTATTTTTATACTCCCCTTCATGAACCAGAAAATGTTTTTCTCAGCTTGAAAATTCAGTTTTGGTTTATGGTGTTTACCATTACTTAAATGAGCAATCAGTTGTTATTACACCTAGTTTTTTAAAATAGAACAATGCACAAAACAAATAGCCATCCCCTCACATACACCTCGGCTACTAAGAGAGTGATGCAGGTTGCCAAGTCTTACATATTTTTAAGGTTATTTCTGGTTGGCTCTCTTGCTGACCAAATCAAATACTGGGCTTTGTTTTTGACACCACTACGAATTCTCATCTGATTGACTAAGGGACCAGGAAGTGAATAGAAGTTAACTGTTGCACTGAAGTACTTTCGCACATTACCTCTAGTTTTGAAAAGAGTAAAACATTGTTAATGGAGGGGTTTGACTGTTTATGGGGAATGTTACTTCCATCCCGAGTGACAAATTAGGATTGTGTTAAATATTATAATACATTTCAAATTTAATACTCTTTTAAATCAGTTTCTGTATCAGATAAAGGAAAATATTAGACACCAACACCTGCAGATTTCTTGGATGGAAAAAAACAAAAGTGAAAAACTAAAATCAAAGTCACACAAACTTCATATTTTCAAAGATAACCTGACCTATAATAACCTTTTATATTGTATTTCTTTTCTTTTTGTCAGAGTTTCTGGAGGAGAACTTTTCGACAGGATCGTGGAGAAGGGGTTTTACACAGAGAGGGATGCTAGCCAGCTCATCCATCAGATCTTGGATGCTGTTAAATATCTCCATGATATGGGAATCGTTCACAGAGATTTGAAGGTACCCTCTTTCAGGAACGATAAAATTAATCTAAAACTGGCTCTAAGTTGATCTTTGTTTCCTATTTTCAAACTATCTCCTTTTGTCCCCATGCATTGTATTCCCAGCCAGAGAACTTACTGTATTACAGTATGGATGAAGATTCTAAAATCATGATCAGTGACTTTGGCCTGTCTAAGATCGAAGGAGCGGGCAGTGTCATGTCCACGGCATGTGGTACTCCTGGTTACGTTGGTGAGCAACCCTTCCTCAGGTCATTCAATTTCTCTTCAGCACACACTCTCATTTCTATGAGAGCTGTTATAGCTGACATCTCATTATTCAATGGACGTTAAGAGGCTTTTTATCCACTTGTGAGGCAATCATAAGTGTTTCAGAAGGGCTTTGCTGCTACTTAGAGTGACCTGCTAGATCAAACAGATTTTGCTGAAAGATCAAGATACCTTGTATCTGTTATTTTTCACTCAGCTAATGCGCATCATGTTTTGTTCACAGCCCCTGAAGTTCTCGCTCAGAAACCATACAGTAAAGCTGTTGATTGTTGGTCCATAGGAGTTATTTCTTATATCTTGTGAGTTGCTCTACTTCATTACCTTTGATAGAAATGAAACGTAACTTTCAAAATGATATGTTTATAATTGTGGTCCTTCAGACTCTGTGGATATCCTCCGTTTTATGACGAAAATGATGCCAAGTTATTTGAGCAGATTCTGAAAGCAGAGTATGAGTTTGACTCTCCGTACTGGGATGACATCTCAGATTCAGGTAATGCCAAAACATTGACTGCTGATGCAACTATAACAAGTATTTTTTAAACATAGACCTAAATTCTGTTGGCAGCCAAAGACTTCATCTGTCACATGATGGAAAAGGACCCTATGAAGAGGTATACGTGTGAGCAAGCTCTTCAACATCCTTGGTAGGAAACTGTCAACAGCTTTTGTTGCCTGCAATATTTCTTGAGTAATTCTGCAACTTAACTATGCAGAAATGACACAGATGTTTAATGTGATATTTTCAATTTCAATGTAACTTTAGACTTAGACAATTTTTGGAAACAATAGATAGCAAAAAGTAAACACAAATGTTAGGTAACCCTCTACAGAATAAACTACCAAGCAGAATTAATGGCCTATTGATATAACCTTAGTATCAGTTCCCAGTACTACTTCTAACACTGTGGTCACTAAGATTGGAAATCCAACTTGAGCAAGTTTGTCGAAATAGTTTTTTTCTTGTGAAATCAAATTTCACTAAGTCTAAGACAAAAGGATATGCTTAAATAATGCCACATTAACTGTTTCAATTCAACTGTATCAACTCAGTTTATTTATCTGAGGTGACTAATTCTAGATATAAGCTAGTTTAGATAAAAAAAGGCTGAGTCAAATAAGAGGACCAAACACAATGACAAAGCAGAAAGAAAACTGATAACAGGGGAAAAAAATAAAGAAATACATTTATTTTACCATGAACATCATAGCATTAACACATTAAACTGATTGTTTAATCTTTGCTCTGCACTCCTCTGTATTATAAATCCTCTTTATAAGCAGTGATCCAAAGAAATAAATAGAATTCAGAAGTAGATATATTGAAAATGTCTGATGTCATTATCTGCCATCCAGACGGTAAAATACCCCATTAAAGCTGTTCTGATATGCATATCTTTTTTGATTGAGAAGCACAAATTAGTCTAATTTCATCAACTTTAGCCTAACAGTCTCTGTTTTAGATAGACACATTCTGTTTAGAAATAGCTTTTAAAGATTTTCTAGGCAACGCAAGACGTAAAAGAGAAACATAAGGAGAACAGAGGTTGCACTCATCATCCACCACCAGGCTTTCTCACTTTTTTATTTTACCAGGCATTGATTGGTTGATAAATACTTACTTAATGGTCTTGATCAAAATGAAGATCGAAAAGGCAAATACTGTATGGAGATCACCACCTTTATGCAGTTTCTGTGTCTACAGTCCTCCATACTTCATGTAATTTTCAAATTAGCTTAAGCATGGTGTTTAAAGCGTTTTATGTGCAGGGATCATAACAGATGCCAAACCCTGCTTTGTAAAAGACTTCTGATGCTACTTTTTTTGTTTTATTTTTTGCAGGATATGTGGGGACACAGCTCTGGACAAGAATATCCATGAATCTGTCAGCGCACAAATCAAGAAGAACTTTGCCAAAAGTAAATGGAAGGTCAGTCAACAAAGTGTGGAAGGAGAAGATTTAAGACCAACAGGAGTTAGAGTAGATGCTACATGTTCTTCACACTTAGATGAAAAAAGCCTGCATTCGTTATGGGTCTGAATGTCACTGTGGCATTTTGGGTTTCAGTGATTTGTTCTTTAACAGTATAGCATGAGAGATCCCACAATCACCTGAGTTAAAATCAGACATTTATTATTGAAAACAGCCCTAAGTCTAAGCAATCCCAGCACAGCCCAGTATATGGGAAGCAGCAGTGATAACCACCCTTTGTCTCATGAAACCAAAGCTGGCATGCCTAAAATCTACACCTCCCCTGGTGCGGTTAATGAAAACAATTAAACCCATGCAGACTATTGCAGTTGGCTAGAAAAGATATTATGGGACCATAATGGAGCAGATGAGTATAATTATAATTTTTTTTTTGTTGTTCTTGTAAATGCGGAACACATACTTTGACTGACAAAAATGACCCGAGTAAGCGGTCTGAGTGCAAAATGGTTATTCAGTTTATGTTCAACATTTTTTAAGTAAGACTTGAAACAGACTCCAAAAATACTTATGTTAGCATAATTCAGATTTTTCCATTTGTAAAAATGACAAATCTGGCTCATCAATAATGAAGATCGTGGCATACTGAAACTGGAAGGGGAAAATATTTAAACTGAAATCTTATCTTTCAGCAATAAATATTTTATTCAACTTAACAATCACAACTTTTTTTTTCTTCATTAAAATCTACTTGTAAATAGGACTACAAACACATGGCCATTTTTTAAATTTTACCAAAATGCAGCGAGCATCTCAAAGAATCAGTGGCTAATACACCATTTATGTTTCTCGTACTCGAGTACAATAAAAAGAATAGAAATAAATTGCATGCATTTATTTTACTAAGAGCAATATGGGGCTCTTTTTAATTATGGGTCTACAATAATTTACCTTTTTTTGCAAAAGTCTTTCTTATGTTGTCTGTTAAGGAGGCATTATGGAGTTTTCTAATAATACTGCCACCTGTGGCCAAAACACAGAACTGCAGCGCTCCTCTTCACGCTCTCATAGCTCGTGCTCATACTGAACAAGTTTTTTTTCTTACTTTTTCACCTTACCTTGAGTTGCCATTGCTGTCTGTGTTAAGCTGGATGCCAGTCACTTCTGAGTGTCCGCAAAATCCATCTTGAATATACAATGCTTCGATTGTTTGCTGGGTCGGACCTCTCTTAATTGACACACTTGATGGCACATTAGTAGACAGCGCAGGAACGTCTGACCCAAAGTAAATTTCCTAAAAATAGGCAACAAGTTTGTACAGGTCTATATATATATATTTGTATATATGCAAATCCTCCACTTGAACTACTAATGCATCAGTCTGCTCAGCAAACAATGATTTAGTCATAAAGGGTAAAATACAAATTTTTAAAAATAGGTTTAAAATAAGTTTTAAAGATATTTTTCAGTTGTAGGTTTGAATTTGAGTTCATTCTAAGGTGGTGTTAGAAAAAGCATTGAATATCCTCTGTTCCCTGTTTATAATTTTAAGCACAAAAAAGAAAGGCTGCATTCATCTCAAGTTGTATAATCTCTGATGATAGTAGAATCATTTAGTTGAAGTTTGATTAATCCTTTTATTTCAGATTATAGATTTCTAGATGTGAATAAATGCATCTCTGAGGCAATTAAAAACTGTAAAATAGCATTTTTATAATTACTCATAGATAGTAAACTGATAAATGTTGCTAACTTTAGTATTGTTCATTGCTTATTGTTACCTTGTCATGTTATTCTCACAGTTTATACAATGTCTATGCATCTTCTTATTCAGTCTATCACCATTTATACTAACAACTAGTCAAAATGCCACTGATCGTATGGTTGAGGCTCCTTAAATAAGTCTTGATTACTTAATTATTAGCTCAACAGCTTCCTCCGGTTTGCCTCAGCTTTAAGGGTAAACGTAACATGGTGTCAAACTCTGAATTATATCCTGGTTCCATTAGGAAGGAAGTTACAGTCACTCCAATAGAAGTCTTATTTTGACACCAACTAGGTTCTCAAGACACTTTTTATTTTGATAAGAAATGTTTGGCCGTTTTACTGTCATGGGACTTTGTGTACCAAATTTGATTCATTTTAGAAAAAGATGCTTGTAAAAAGTAGATGCTGTAAAGTAAAGATGCTTAAAGTGTGGTTCTCTTAATAAGTTTTGACATATCTCAACCTAAGTTTAAAAATGGTAATCATTTAAATCAGCCAGCAGTACTAGTTGGGACTTGTTAAAGTTTTTTAGCTTTAGACAGTTATATTGTTTTTACAGATTAGACCAGTTTACTGGGTTTGTTTCGTTTGTTGTCTTAATTAATCTGATTTAAGGCACAGAGTAAAAATAGCATGAACACAAATTTTTTCAGATTTTTTGACGGACTCTCTCAATAAAGTGTTGAAAATAGAAATAGAAAATCCCTTATAAATATAGCATTATGGCCAAAACTCAGTCCTGTGTAGGAAAGTATAACCTATAATGATTATTTATCATTTAGAGCAGCAAGCTGAATAAGCAGAATCTTTTTACTTAGTTATCTGTTTGACTTTATTTTTTATCATAAATGCCCAATTATTAATAATAAAAATCCATAATAAATTTCTGATATAAAATTAAATGTATATCTTATATTGAGCTACATGAGAGTCTAGTAATGTTTATAGATATTTATAATGGGATATTATTAATGTAATAATACATCTCATTTAGCAAACAGTAAGAAAACATAATTTGCCTTCAGCTTTATTTAGATGTTGCTGTTAAATTTTTAATTTGAATATTTTTTTATGTTTATTTCTTTGGTCATAAAAAAAAATCATAAACGACATGGCCTTCATCTGTCTGTTACTGCCTCAAAAAATAAATTTAAGGCCGTCTGTTGATAACCATATTTGTTCAGTGTCTATGGTAACAAAAACATTTACCAAAAGTATGTGTTTTTTATACATTACACACTGTGCTTTTTAAATTATTAATTAATTAATATAATAACGGGTGCCTGTTTTTTGGTTTGAACGCCTGTCTGCAAAAATATGTGTGCTCTTTCCTGTGACTGTTATAACAAAGAGCCTACCTGAAATGTCTCGGTATAAATTTCAATATTTTATGTATTCTATTATGTATATATCTTCAGCTGGGAAGTAACTTTCTGTGTTCCACCTCAGTGTGCCTGTGTGGGTGTTTTGTCATAAATAATTTCATGTAACCTCCTGCGAACTACACCATCTGTGATATCTGCAATTTTCACTCCCCTGTTTAGACTTACACTTCTTTTCATGTTTATTGTTAAAACATTCATGTGCAAAATAAATTTAACTCTTTTTAATTTAAACTAAAGCTTATAAACACCAATTTAACCATCATTGATAATACAAAACAATACTACCATAGGGTAAGTTGTAATACAGTTAGCAGCAAATTTATTTTTTAACTGTGAATTTACTTTTGTATTAATATTTTATGTATTTCTGTATATATTTGTCAACCAAACCTATGAATAATTTGTGAGCCATTTTTATTACTTAATAAATCCTTATTTCTTTCAAAATGTTAAAATGAAATAATGTCTTACTTGATGCTTAGATTTATGATAATTTTTTACAGTCAAAATGTTTATTTCATCATTGTTAATTGTACAACTTTTGAAAAGAAGAACGCTGAGAATACGAAGTTAAACAATTTCTTACATAAAGTGAAGAGTTTACAAGTGTCTGTTTTTTTGTTTTTCCTTGCAGCAAGCGTTCAATGCCACGGCGGTGGTGCGACACATGCGGAGGCTGCAGCTGGGCACCAGTCTCGAGGGACCGAGTCAGATTACTCCCACCAGTCCTTGCCATGGACATCTGCTCCCAGAGGAGGAGGTGGAGGAAGAGGAGGAGGAACTGGGGAATGAGGAGGAGGAGAGCTGTAAGTCAGCAAATGAATGAACAAACACAACTTCAAACCTGTCGGTGCTGTATGAGCTTAATAGATAATTCCTGCAAAATAGATGATCTTTTAAGTAATAAGAGCATTTTCAGATATAGTCTATTATATTACATTTTCCCAGCGGACTGCACATCCCTGTTAGACTCCAAACCGAACTGTGCATCTATCCTGTGCAATAAACTAAAGAAAAAAAAAACAAAAAACAGGCAGTTCTCAGGGAAACTGTGTCAATAACGAATATGCCGTGGCCTGTTTGCATAATTGTATGCATCCCCTAATTTAACACCTTGTTAAAACAGTTTTTTGATTTCATCCTAGGATTTTTATTTGACTGGGCTAAATTACTTAAAGCTACAGTGTGTAATTTTCAGCGACATCTAGCGGTCAGACTGCAGACTGCAGCAACATGAACGTCTCCCCCCCACCGCTTCTCCCCCCCAACAGTACGGCGAGCGTTACGGGACAAAATGTCTTCCACGACGTCCGCATCACCTACCTTCTCAAGTGATGAGGTTTGTTTACATAGATAATTTTACAGATAGTATTTCATTAGTCTGTGTAGGGTATAGATTTCATGTAGACTTAAGATAATAAATATACCCGTTATTTTTTCTACGTCGTTGTGACGTTTTGGTGAGCTGCTTTGCATGGTGATATAAACAGACGAAGTAATTGTAGTCATTAGTTTAACAGCGAGATTGTGTTCGCTGGAAGAATATATATTCCCCGTTTACAGAGTCCAAGTCTTGTTTGTGGCACGGGGGTTACAAGGCAAGGAAGAGGGAAAGGAAGAGGGCAGAGAGGCCGGGGTGAGCGTGCAGCTGGGGCCAGGCGAGAGAGGGGAGCCAGCGGGGTGAGAGCAGAGGAGGAAAGGCTTGAAGATCTCCAAAGGAGCCGGAGAGAAGTAACCGAGGTATATATCCAGAAAATTATTTTACAGAAAATTACTGAATCATTACCTGTGAAACGTCAGGGACGTTGCTGAATAAGTATACTGGAGAGTAACAGCATCATCACGCAGCATGTTATTGTTTTAGACAGGTCTGAGCATCCTGTACTCCAAAAACTGCAGTGATATTAGACAATTGTGTGTATAGGATTAATTACCTGTCCAAGAGAAAACTGGCAACTTGAGCGTCACTTTGAAAACCTTTTTCCTCCATCAGTGACTTCCATCGTGTAAATGCCGTGCCAATGTTGATCCGTGTTTTTTGTCGTTTCTTGTCACTCTTGCGTTTATTCTCGTCGTGTTTCCGCTTCTTAGATGACGGGGGTTCGGTGTCCGCCGCTTTTCGTTGTGATACAGAGTAGGCATGATCCTCCATTCGTCTGATGTTTGGCCACACAGTGCCAAACAGTTTGCAAAGTCACTCACGCCTGCCGCCTTGTTTACCTTTCTTGTTACCGAGGCGCAGTATACCTGCTTCTTCTTCTTCTTTGGTTTCAGGCAGACTAAACGCTTCTCAGGCATAATACTGCCATCTACTGTTCAGTACCGTCTCAGTTCATCTCTCTCAACTTGCCGTAGTTATTTTCGAGCGTCATGGGAGATCTCGCAATCGCTAGTTTGTTAGCTCTGCGCTGCCGTAGCGCAAAGATGTCAGCCTCCATGGCTGCGAGACCCGCTCCTATGTAATTATAAATAACGAATTCTAAGGCAACGCAAATGTTATGGTTAAAAGGCTGAGCTCATAGGTGATGATAAATAACATAGTTATGTATAATATATTAAATTTCTGAATTTATATGCCTGTAATTATTACACACTGTAGCTTTAACACGTTCTCTAAATGTGTCAGCACGTCTCCTGTTGATAGCCGGTTTAGGGTGACACCAGATTATAGCTTCAATACTGGGTCGGCCACTTTAAAACTTTCATTTTATTCGAGTAGTCTTTCTTTTCTTTTTTTTTCTGTTTTGGATGCATACTTGGACTCTGTATGAACCTGCAAAATAAAATAAAAAAAAACATTTTATATTCCTCTGAATTTTACAGTCCTCTGAATGTTTTGGGTCAAAACTTATTTCACTTTGAAACTGCTCAGAATTTCATCCACCTTGAACAATATCAGTTGCCTCTGAACACATGATGCTGCTACCTCCATGTTTCACAGTTGCCATGGGGCTTGTATTGATGTGCGACTCGCTTATTAGGCTGCTTTTTGGGATTGTGGTGGAATAGACCTAGTTTATGTGGTTGCTTTCTTTTCCCTGGGAGATTTACTGTAGGTTGAACATTTCGTTAGAAACAGGATATTTCTGTGCTCTAATTCTTCACCTTAGAGCACAAATACTATGGAGATTGGAGAAAAATTGGACAGGACAAACATAAAATCAGAATTATAGAATGATATTTCTTATTTACAAATCCTTTAGATGCTAGGACAGCTCGTCTGCCTTTATTTGGAGAGACGATCTGGTTGTGACTCAACCCAGCCTGATGATAAATCATGACTAAAAGTACCAAACAAAATTATATAAATTTTAGTGCAGATGGTGCAGCTTGTATGTTTGCTTTCACAACACCCTTTTCCTTTTAGAAGTAAAATACTGTAGTGTTTGGAAGTTAGTTTTTCAATTTTCCTATTTGGACCAATGAAGGAGACTTAATAGATGCACCTTTAAGGATGAATGCATGTCATTTTAAGGAAAGCTATCGTGCAGCTCGAGCATAGATTAATGAATACCTTCAGTCACATGTAGCTGCAAATCCCTCACAGATAGGACACACTTTAATGGATTCTGGTCAGCAGTTTTCAGATAAATGCTACCAAACTAATTTAAACTGGATGATGAGGTTATTGAATGGAATCAAATTTAATCCTAAGGCAAGTGAATTTATCTTCCTATCTTAAACAGTACATAAGGAATGCCTCTGAGTTGATTCTTTCCTGCTAGAGGGAAAACCTGGTTTGCCGGCTTATCAACTTATGTCTAAGTTATTGTCTAAGTTAAACAGATAGCCCTTACAGTTGCAGCCATCAAAATAGCCCTTCCCAGTCAAATGCCAGCCGAATGGCAGCCAACTTGCAGCCACTGGACTGACCCCCTCCTTCTCCTGGCCATGCATATTTTTTTACTCTGTCTCCACCCTTTCACCGAATTATAGGGTCTGACCAGGAGAAGGCACTTCGCTTTAGATCTTAAGGTCTACAAATCATGACAGAAAGAATGTTTTAGTACAAAGATTGATTTTAAAAAAAGGAATCTTAAAAGACCAGCCAGGGACCAGCCAATGGCCCATCAAGGAATGAGGGGAAAATTTTGAATGGCTACTACTGTATGCTATAATGAAAACTAAAGTTGTCAATTTTGATTATTCTCTCTGGTTATGGTGTTTGCAGTTATGCTCCTAATTACTAAACCTTGAATTTCCTCTAATTCTGTTGCTGCTCTGCTCCTCATCACCCAGTGTCTCACTACGAGGATGGTCGTCGTGGAAGTAATGAGGGCAGCACAGATCGGGACAGTCTGAGAAGCTGTACCTACTGCTGCAGGCCAACCAGTAGAATTTGAGCACAGCCTCCTGGTTTCGTGATGATGAAGTGTCTGTGGAGCACCCAGAACTCGCCCACCCAGTCTGGCCAGTAAGGCAGAGTAGATATTAGTCAATATCCAGCAGAAACCCAAACAACAATTTCCCGTTTCTTTGTGTTTAAAAAAAAAAACAAACAAAAAAGGACATTTACAGTTAGTTTTCGTTACTTTGTTTAAACTAAATAATAACCTCTGTGATGGGAAAAAGGGTTTCCCCTCTCAAGGTTATTCATGTTTTGCTTTTTCGCTACCTAAAAGTATTTCAGATCATTAAGCAGATTTCTTAGAGCAAATACAAGCAGTTCTCAGCTGCTGGAATTTGTTATGAAAGAAAACTACACAAAGCAAACTGGTTCTGTATGAAATTGTTATCATACCCTTTTTATGAGTGATTATCTATAATTTTGTTACATTATACAGGTACAAACAAATCTCATTTCTGCCAGACTTGCAAAATCAAGAAGAAACTTAAACAGAGCCAGTCTTACAAAAGGAAATAGGTTCAAATCTGCAATGAGTTCAAGATAAGATGAGAAATAGTTAGAAACAAGCCTTCTGAACTCCAGTACAGTAAGAGCCGCTACTAACAAATGGAAATAACTATATTTGCCTGCAAACTACAAATACTGTGAGGCCACACTAGCAACACATCCAAAAGATCACAACAAACCCAAAACTGAATATTTCTGAAGCACTGCATGTCTCACATACCTCAGTGAAGTTCACTGTTCGTAGCCTAAAAATAAGAAACACTGCATCCATGGGAGGGTTTCAGTGTGAAATCACAGCTGATCAAAAAGAAGAGAAAAAATCCGAATGACTTCTTTAGGAGACCACCACAGAGGAGAATCCCAGGACACCAGTTTGTTAACTATAACTGGAATTTAGCTGAGTTATGCAACAGCACAAGTGCAAAAGGTGACTAAAAAGTCCACCTCTAACAGCCTATTCAAAGGTAGAATTTAGCCTCTTTCCCACTGAAAATAGCGCGTTAACCCGGGTTAACAATCGGCATTTGGCTCCCTTCCCACTGGCAAAAAAACTGTGTCTAACCCCTCGCTGGCAAGCTGCGTCGTCTCTGTCCAACCGCGGGTGCATGTCTGGTGACACCATCACACTGGGTTGGCATTCATGATGTCACCAATGTGACGGAAATCAAGACATTAAACAATAAGTGCAATATCTAAGGAAACCAGTGCGCTTTCTTGTTTCATTCTATTATCTTTCCTAATCCCTCTTGCCAGCGCTGAGCCATGTTTATCGAGTTGATTTGGCTTGTTAAATCTGACCGACTGGTGGGGATTGTTGACGTCCGTACGTTAAATGGTGTCACTTAATTTCTGGCTCTGGTGGCGATTTTAACACAGGTCGCTTGCTAAGTCCGTTGCTCGTTAGACACGCGTCATTGAGCTGTTCCCACTGCTAATAAAAGCTGATTGTTCCTGGTCATAAACAGGTTTTTCGGCTGGTGGGAAAGGTTGGTGAATCAGATCTGGGCCAAGGTTTGACATAAATCTGGTTAAGATGCTGTAAACTTAAAGCAGACTGCTCTAATCATCTAAAGAGTGAATTAAAGGTATAGTGGAGGATTTTCTTTTTCCCGGTGGATCATCAAAATTAGTGGTCCTAATTGTCAATCATTCTGGTGATATGTTTACGTAAGGGCGTCATATGTGCTTGTCCTCAGTTAGCTGTCTTTTTCTGCGCATGCGCACTTTTATGTGGTGAGCTATGGTGTTAGCCTCTCATTGAATCCACACTGAAAGCACAGCACAGGTCGGGCTTCCTTCTGATGCCTCGGTTGCGAAGTTTTTACTCGACAGGTAAAGCCTGGCATGCTATTTGAAGAAATCCATTTCACATCACTGGTTGTAAAAGTTAACTACCCCTATATTGTAACTTTCCAGGGTTAGATAAGTTTATCTATTTTGTAACAAGCATTGTTTTATGGTGGCCACAGATCCTTATTTACCCTGCAAACAGGTCCACATTTCCACATTAGCCTACACTCATAATTTTTTATTGTACCAATGTTCTTATTTGCAGGTAAACTTTTTATACATAAATATGGGTGAGATGAGATCCATCCGAGCGACCATCTTATTGCGTCCATGCACATCTTGAGGAGAAATAGGCTCATGCACGCTCTTGCACACGTTTAACATGCGTTTCCTCTCGGGGGCGTGTACAGGATTGTGCATGTGCATTTTTATTTTTTTTTTTAAGTGGAGAGGGTTTGTCTTTTCAAACATTTACGAAAATCCTCCACGATACATTTAAGAATCTGAGAGAAAGAGTAACACAACATTCTTCAACAGATATTGTAGCGACTGGCCAGGAATGTTAAGATTAGTTACCAAATACGAAGGGAGAGGCTTGTTTGAATAGTTTTCCTTGGTAATTAAAAACTGACATCTAAGTCAGTTTGGTGATCTGAAAAAAAAAGAAGCAAAACTGAAGAAATGTGTAGGCTTATTCTTTTTCAAAGAATTGTATTGCAAAAGTGACCACAAGGCATATTTGTGAAGAGAGATTGATTAAAAAAAGAAGCTTTATCTCAATGACCCACCATAATGATGAAATGATTAGTCCTTTTGTGCAGCCATGTCAGAAAAAGGCCTTTTACAAATTGTTCTGCATGTTAGCTTCAGAGCCTGTTTACATCCAAGATGAGTTCTAAAAGCTGTGTCCTTTTTCTTAATTGTTATCTCATTATATGCCACGTCTACCTCTAATCATGGCTTCTGTGTGTCTGCATCCATCTGGCTTAGGCACTCTACAGTGCTGGCAGCTTTCTTTGAAAAATCTGGGCAGACAAGTTAAAAGAACAAAGGCATTTAAAGCTAACATGTCCGGAAACTGAATCCTGTGGGTCCTTCTCTTCTTTATCCATTAACCAAATACTAGGCAATAGCCTAGAAAACATCTCTATTTAAGTAGAGAGGCTAAACATTGTTTCTCCCTTGAATTATATTAATACCTAGCTAACAACTTAGTATCTGCTCTGCAAAATAAAATTAAGTATAGCTCTGTTTAATTGTAACGCTTTTTTTTTTTTTGGCTCCATATGTATCCCAGTCAGTCCAGTAATGTAATATTGTCCTTATTAACAAGTATGAATTGAACTCAGATGACTTCAGTTTCTTTTAAGTTTACTAAGATAAAAAAGTTGAGTTTAGATCAATTATAAATCTTAATTATCCCAAAAACCTTTCCAATTGAATCTCAGCCTTAGTTTACATTCTTTCCGCTGACTTTTTTCAGTGCAGTTCGTTGTGAATAGAATCCATTAAATCAATTATTTCACCGATGTTTCCCCCTAAACAAAGTTCTTCTGTTCAAATGGAAAATAAAGGGTCTTATTTATCTAGTTCTTTCCTCTTGAATGTGATCCATTTCACGTGATAATCCAATGCAATCATTACTTTTGGTTCTTTTGAACTAAATGCCAAATATAATCCAGCTGACTAATACTGTCATATCATTTCTTACTGAAATGAGGCCCAGTTCAAAAGAATTGTTCTAAACTGAATACAGCCCATTTTAGTCCACTTATAATCAAACCAACTCTGTAATCAACTCTTACAACGGAATATGATGTTGCTCAGTCCAGTGCAAGGCACTTCAACATAATGTAAACCCCTTAATTGTCCCACAATGGGAAAATTCACTCTCTGCATTTGACCCATCATCTTGGGGAGCAGTGGGTCGCCATTGTGTGGTGCACGGGGAGCAGTGTGGGGTTAAGGGTCTTGCTCAGGAATCCAATGTCCAGGCTGTTGGGATCGAACTGGGCACTTGCAACCTTCTCCGAGCACAATTGCACTGCTCTCACCACTAGACCAACTCTCCCAGCTGTAACATAATTATCTCCATTTAAAAAAAAGTCCAGATTTATTCCAATGAAATCAAATTAGTTTCATGTAATTCTGATTGAATTATTCATATATATTTAATGTTTCCTCCCTACAATCTGGTGCAATCCAGTGTATTCTAGTTCAAATAAATTATCTTGAACTAAAACCGTACAGTTTAATCCAAATATAAACCATGTGACTTACATTCTGTCTGAATTAAGTTAGTTTCTGTCCAGGAATCATTCATTGAATACATTACTTTGTTTTTGATGCTGCTCACATTAATCATGTAAATAATGGATATATCAAATTAAATATTTTTTCCTAAATAGAAGATATGAGGCAGAAAAGGTCAGTTTTCCCAAAAAAATGCTGTTTTCATCTTCATCAACATCAAAAAGTACAAATTTTTTGTGATTAAAAAACTGCTCATCTTCAGGCTGAATGAATATTACAGTTAAATCCAGTTTTGCTTATTTTCGACTCTTTTCTGCTCAGAATCTCTCTAATAATTAAAATACTTTGTGAACATATTATCTGAATACTTTAAAGTTGCAAAAGGTTTTGGAGTCTATATAGCGGCTCAGACTGGGTATGTGACGGGTGGATTTGGCTTGAAATGTCTGCATGCTTCCTTTTGGAAAAAAAAAAAAGAAAATTACATTAAAATGTATGAATATCCAAAAGGAGACTTTTTTTGTATGTTTGTTTTATGGCTGTTTTTATTTTATTTTTTTATTGTTATTATTTTTATCAGAGGCTCAAACTGAGATCCCCATTAGGCCGTTATATTAAAACTCGTATTATGCCTTGAAGATTATAGAAATCATGTACTTCTTTTCACCTGTTTTTTGTTAAGAAAAGCAAACGAATCCAAAGGCTGTGAGTCTCTTTTCTCCTGGCCCAGACCCGGCTCATGTTGAGTTGGAGGGATCTCGGTCTGGGCACTCTACCTGCTCTGTGCTGTACACCTCTAGTGGAAGAAGTTTTGGTCTACTGTTTGCATGACCTGGTTCAATATGTTTACATGAATGATGATCAATTAGTATAAACACACGATTTAATATTACTATGTTGTATTGAAAACTAATGTAATTTTTGAGCTATATAATGTGAAGTGATTAACACCTGAAGTAACGTTGTTGACAAAATACAACACAGCACAGTGGACTTATCATTTGCATCGACTCTAACAGGCAAGTCTCTTTCTGAGTGATCTTTTTTCTGTACTATGCTTATTTATGGCTTCGTTTTTTGTTTGCTTTTTTTGTTTGCATTTCCTGACCCTACTAAAGCAAACAACATATCAGTGATTTTGCAAGGTTTCTGTTTTTTAAGTATTTATTTTGAAAAGGGGTCTTAAAAACATAAAGGTGCAAGAGCAACACCCTGCTGCTGGAGTGCTCTCTTTACAATTGTATAAGGAAAGAACACTTAAGCCATACACTAATTATTTACCCCTTTTTCTGTACTTGATGTACAACTTAACAATCACCGTAATCTGCAAGCGATACACACAAAATAATTATTTTAACACAAAATTGATTGACCTATAATATTATTAACATCATGTCAGTAGAAAATAATGTATCCCATGACATAGTACATTCTGTTTAAGGCAAATAAAACCTTAAGGAACACAGTGAACTAACCCATCAATCGATCCTCTTTCATTAATTGGTTTCGTTCTATTTGTAGCTATTAATGCGGGTCCATAGTACAGTAAAAGAAGGCGATCACTCTGGATTTACAAGACTGTAATTTTGGAATATATGCAAACTGTGTTTGAAGGGCTTCATGTTGAGTGTACTATAGCCAATGTTGATGACTTTGATAACCTGGCTATTATATGTTTTGTAAAGACTTTCTGTTGAACCTTTCCTGGGATTTATTTTAACTCAGCTGTGTCTTTGTTAAGCTTCTGCTATCCATTCCAAACACACTATAATGCATAAAGAAACATGTATATTATATATATATAAATAAATATAAGTATATATTGTATATTCTTTTTTGTAAAAGCTGTTTTGAGCTACAAATGTATGGATGCAATGCATCATGGGTTATTAAAAAAAGTATGAAAATACGATTTGTACCCACAAAGAATTGACTGCAGGAACTGAAATAAAACTTCCTTGTCTATGCAGTGTTTGTGTTGTGTCATGAGATAAGATCTTCCTCTTTAACCCAAAGTAAGAGATGAAATCAGCTATTCCTTACAGTGGTTAATGTAAACATTTTAGTAGTGTGCTTTCATGTAGAGTTACAGACTTGGAGAAATTAGTTTACAACTCTGGTAAAGATGGGGGACAGGCTTTAAAATAAACTATTGCACTATAGTGTCACAATCTCTAAAGATAGCATAGAAGAAGGTTTACTTTCTTTTTAACTTGGTCAAATATTGTTGACATATCATATATTTAGTTCCTGTCAAACTGATCTGTATTTTTAAATGCTTAAAATGTAAATGTGGTCATCTAATCAACACATGCAGTGCCAGTTACAGCAATCTGTGAAAAGTTCTACATATTTTAGTTTAGCAGGGTAACCAATTGGTTGGGTTGAAAACACCATCTAACTACTGTGACTGAGAATCCAAAACGCCACTCTCTGCTGGCTTTGGAGGTTGCTTTTTTTTATATTTCTTTGACTCTGCCTTATTATTTCATGTTGGCAAGATATGTAGATATAGGTCCAAAACCAAATCTATTGGCTTGTAGTAAGGTATTTTATTTGCATACAGAAAATTGCATTTTATAATTAACACATTTTGATCTAAAGTATACATTTTAAGTGAAACATATTTTAAAAGGACAAGTAGAGGTATCAGTAAAGGATGACATTTTTGTAATCCTTCTTGAAAAAAAAATTAATGCATACTATGAAACAAAAAAGTAAAGATCAAAAAACTGTCATGCTAATGGTGAAACTCTACCATCACGCTGTATTTTTAACCTAACATATCAAAACCACACTAAAATCACTACGTAGTCCTTATAAAGAGACCACAATTTTATATGAAACTTTTTTCTAATCTGACTAAAATATCAGTAAATATTTCCTGTTGAAGCTCAATAGGAGAGTGTTTTTTTTTCTTTCCTCTTAAATTAAGCATGCATTACCTAAATAAATTAAGCATGCATTACCTTTTTATTTTTCTAGAATTGCCTTTATGACTGTTGAAGCGTTCTGTGCGTATAGCTTTTAAAGCCTCTTAGAATAACTTACTTGAATTTAGTCTCATTCCTTCTGACAGAACCAATCTAACTCAGGCAGTTTCTATGGTTGCCTTGCTCATGCACAGCTTTTAAATTATGACTGCACATTTTTAAGGGACTGAGTTCTGGTCTTTCGAATTTTTACACAAAGACTTAACTTTCACCTTTTAGCTACTTTGTGACTAATTTGGTGGTATATTTATAGTCATGAGATTCATTTTAAAGACCTACTAGCACTCAAGGATGGTGTGTTATTTGTCTGATATCCTAAGATGTTGCCAAGAATGTTCCCTGCATTTTTCCTCATGTCATTTATCTTTTAAATTGCAATAGTTTATGAACTGGTTTTGACCAAACTTAGTGATATTACTTTATGAGCTGTTTAATCCTAACATCATTGCATTATATACCAAATGTCATCCAGTCACCATGTTTTCATTCATCAACTGTAAAACATCTCTAC